TTAGGTGCAAGATTATGCCAAAATTTCTTGTTTTCCGTCCCATTTTTGCTCATTTCTCGGAGGCAAAATGAGCAAGAACGCTCATTTGTACATCATTCTAGAGAGAAATAAATGGCCTTTATTAGAAAGTGAACCATGGATGGGGCAATGTTGGCAGTTGTCTCAAAAAATGTTTGAATTCAAGAAGTTTTAGATTTGCGTGGTTTTTTTTTGAGTTGCAAAATCCACTTGAACATGACGCTGCTTTTTTCGAAGTTTCTCAAGAACCATTTGAGCCACAGAATTCGTTTTGGCATCGTTGGATAGAGAATTGAATGGGGATCCGCCCTTGCTCTCTACCTTGACTGAAAGTCAATTTTGAATGTGTTTTTTGGAGCAACGTCCCTTCTGTAAGTGGACAAGTTTCTAATCAACGGGCAATTTTTGACAAGTGATTAAATTATTTATTAAATAAGTCGTTTTGTCTGTATGTTTCATTTTCAGTCAACATCAGTAAATTTTTGAAAATCGCATTTGGCTTTTTGGAGGTTGTGTTTGCCGTCCGGAGTTCAGCATTTATTTTCCCTGGTATACTTTTGCATCGATTTTATTGGTTGAAGTTGAAAAGTTGCTTTTTTGTGTGCTTGGTAAGGCAGCGTGCCCTCTAACTGTGAAGAAATTTTCGATTTTGAGTCATCGTCAGGAAATTTTTGGCAATTTGTTGAGTTTTAAAGTTGGTTTTGCAGGCCAAAGTTTGGCACTTATTTGCTCAAAATCCAGAAAAGTGGGAGACTAAATCTGTGTATAACTTTCGTAGCGCAAGGTGTGTCCTATAGGTGGGAGACGTTTCGATTTTGACTCATCCTCAGGGAATTTTCAGGAATTTTTCACAATTTTATTTGTATTTTGCGTTCCGAAGCGCACGGAAGTTTCACGGCTAATTCCTCAGAAACTAGACTAGCTGGGAATGGGCTTTTGTCAGAGGTACGTTCGTTTCGAATCGAAAAAACCCATAGACTTATCAAATGTTTTCTAACGGGCATACTGACGATGAAAAGCCCTCAATTAAAGTAAACCGCAATCAACAACAAGAGGTGAAAAGCGAGCCAATTTAATCGGATAGAAAAGTTTCGCAGGAATTATAAAACTGCCGGTGCCGCCATGGGAAATGCAGTTGCATCATAAAGTTTTTCCTGCATGGAAAACTAAATATGCATACTGCGCTGGCTCTGAGGTAATCACTAATTTTTTGCGCCCGTTTTGCCTTCGCCTCTTTAATTAAAGGAGTTTTATTGCGGTCGTGCCCTTAATCAATCCATTGGAAGCGCGGATTGGGAGCCTTTTTCCTCACCCAAATGCAAATACAACCGCAAATTGTTGCCCTTATTTGCATAACCGGGTTGTCGTAGTAATAGAAACCAGCCCATGAATGGCCTGCTAACAGTCCCTAAAAGTCCTGCTAACACAAACAAGTGAAAACGAGGCTCGTGTGCGAATATTGACCACTCAACGTCGTCACTAATCCGGTTGATGGGAGATTTCCATTCGTGCCCTAAAAATATTTTTGTTTTGTTAATTTATTTTCCTCGTTTTTATTTCACATTTTTTGGAAAACCCTCCCAGAAAGTGCACGCCAAAATTGTCAATGTTTATTCGCTTGCAAAGCGCAAGAAAACATCCGTGCAGTTTGAGAGTTTTTTACCGAAAAATTCTATTGATGCAGTGCACAATTGTAGGCTAAATTTAATCGGTGGTTCCTTGCGCTCATGATTTTAGTTGCCTATTTGTGCACATTTAGTACGTGCACGGCAATTGTTTTACCATTGTTTCAATTCATAATTAAATAAGTTAACAAAAATCTAGCTTTAGCAAACGAAAACAATTGTGCCCTGCCAAAATTTAATCTCTCGAAACTGCGTAAGTTTCCGTAGTTTTGGCGGTAGGTTTTTTCCTCCCTTGCAGCTTCTTTTGACATCTTGTCACTCTTCTATTCATCAGCGCCAATCGCTTCCTTTATGTTCTCTGAAGACTTCTTTATCCAGATGCGAGAGTAAAACTCCGGCACCAAATAAAAACAGCGTATTTTATAGCGGCAGCAACGTGTGAAAATGTGTTTTTTTGTACTGCGCAAACCGCGCTGTACTCCAGAGAATTTACGCCGATTCCCGATGTGCCACCACTCTCTATGAATAATCTGATAAACTTTGGCAAAAAGGCGGGCGAACAAGAGCAACTCGCATCGCGCGTCATTCGAAGGAGAACAACAAGTTTGGAGAGAAAGTCAGCAAGCCAAACCAACTAATCAGGGTGAACTTTCAGAATCAATTAAGACAAACTTCCTGCGGTTGTTTAGCTGCCGCTGCGTGTATCCTGCGGGATTCGGGCTGATTTAGTGAGCAGGGGCCGCCCCCTGATGACAAGCAATAAATATCGCAAGTGAGCCCATTTCTCCGTTTGTTTCTGTTGCTCCTACCAAGGGCGGATGTAAGGGGGGGATCATGGGGCTCATGACAATTTTATATCCAACGATGCCAAAACGAATTCTCTGGCTCGAATGGTTCTGGAGAAACCTCGAAAAAAGCAGCGTCATGTTCAAGTGGATTTTGCAACTCAAAG